AAGACAGGGGATTATATTAGTATAGCCTATGCTTTTCTGGTATTGGTTACTTATATTTCGCCTTTAATTTTATTGGCTGCTAAATCGTTTATTTGCAATTAAAAACTACTTTTGCTTATTTTAAAGGCGAGATATCCATTATTTTTCTTCATAAACTTTCTCTACTGGATTTGTTTCTTTGAATCATAAATTATAACAAACCCTGAAGTTTGTAAGCTGCATAAAAAGGTGAAGGTGCATAAAAACACAGCGGTTTTAAAATTACAAATTTTCATTTAATTTCTCCATTTTAAATTGGATAGTGTTGTAAACTGTCTCTTTTCTACAACATAAGTAGCGAGCCAGAGGTTGAAGACTTGGATTGAAGATTCCAAGAATATCCAATAAATAATATTTGCTGATTTTAAAAAACTTTATTTTATGTAGCACGATTAAAAAATACTTTGTTATAAAACGTATTTAACTTTGCTTAAGGTGTTTCTTCGCATTCTTCACACAAGAATGTTCAGAAAGCTGGAAGATCTAAGCGGTGATACACAATTTGGTTTCAAGAGCGGACTGAGTATACATGAAGCAGCGTTCTGCTGGAATACAACCTTTTTCCCCAATTTCCCCAATTTCTTTGGCGTGTTGAAGATTATTTCGAGCTCTGTCTACTATCATGATCTTTGTCTTATACCTATTTAGCTTTAGTCCATATGTTTTGCTTTTCTCCTCCAGATATCTCATTATGTTTTCTTTTTTTTCTTGATTTGCCGCGATTATTAAAGTATCATCAGCATATCTCAAGTTACTGATTTTTTGACCTCCTACTGATATTCCACCCTTCCATCCGTCTAGTACCTTTCGCATAATGTGTTCGCTGTAGATATTAAATAAAATTGGCGAAATTATGTATCCCTGCTTGACATCTGCCTCTGTTCTGAAATGATCGGAATGGAATGGAATGAAATGGAATGGAATGCCTCTATGTCTCTATGTAGGAATTGTCACCAGTATCTAAAAACAAATGTTTGATATTATATTGAAAGTAGTCGCCGTGTAATATTTCAAGTAAGTATAATTCTTCTTCTTCTTCATGTGCCTTGTCCGTTCCGAACGTTGGCAGAGTTTATGTCAGATCTGAATAGTTCAGCAGATGACAATCCAAACCATTGCCGCAAGTTTTGGAGCCACGAGTGTCTTCTCCTCCCTGCACCCCTTCTGCTGTCTATTTTCCCTTGAACGATCAGCTGTAGTACTCTATATTTATTATGTCCCATAATGTGACCCAAGTATTCCAACTTTCTTTTCTTTATACTTATTCCTACCTCTTTTTCTTTACCTATCCGGCGTAGTACCTCTTCGTTGGTCACGTGCTCAGTCTAGGATATACGTAATATACGTCGGTAAGCCCACATTTCGAAGGCCTTTACTTTTTTCATCAATGTTGCGGTCATTGTCCACACCTCCATTCCATATAGCAAAACCGGGAATACAGAACATTTCAGAAGTCGAATTTTGAGAGGTAGGGTGAGGCTTTTAGAGGTGAAAATTTGCTTCATGCTAGTGAACGATGCTCTTGCCTTTTCTACTCTTATACGTATTTCTTTCGCTTGATCCCAATTTGAGTTAACTGTTGTTCCCAAGTAGATGTACGAATCCACGTGTTCAATTCTTTCATTGTCTAATATCAGTTGCTGTGGTGGTTGTTGGGTTTTGCTTACTAACATCCATTTGGTTTTTGTGATATTTAGTCTGAGTCCGTATTGTGCACTTGTTTTTTGTATCTTACTCATTAGGTTCCTCCATGCTACTTGCTATAATCAGGGTGTCATCAGCATACGTTATGTTATTAATTATTTCTCCATTTATCTTAATGCCTTCTGTGCTTTCCTCCAGCGCTGTCTTAAATACTTATTCTGAGTATTTATTAAAGAGAATAGGAGACAAGATACATCCCTGTCGTACCCCTTTCTTGATCTCAATTTTATTGGTCAATGTAGATCCTTTCACTTTAGCTGTTTGACCCCAATAGAGACTCGCTATTGTTCGAATGTCTCTGTAGTCGACTCCGATCTTATGAAGAACTTCAATTATCTTTTCGTCCTTTACGTTATCGAATGATTTTGCGTAGTCCATAAAGCATACGCACACGTCTTTGTTCATATCTCTGCAGCGCTGGATGAGTACCTGTAGACTAAAAAGTGCTTCTCTTGTCCCAAGAGAATTACGAAACCCAAACTACGAATCTCAAATGTTATCCCCACATTTTTTGCTTATTCTGTTGTAAATAACCTTGGTGTATGCCTATAAGTAAAGTAATTAAAGTATAATTAAAGTTTTATAATTTAAACACTATAAAAGGTTATTAGTACAATCCATATTATACCGGAAAAGCTTGCCAAATTATTGTTTTAGTTGAAAATGGTTGAACCGGTGAAATATTACTAGACACTTATGAAAAGACCAAACACTAGGTGTGAGTGAGCAATAAGAACGCTTTATGAAAAAACCTCATACCCATTAAGGTCTGCAAAAGATCGAAAACGTACCTCAGTCCAGCGCCAAGTACGCCTGTATTTTTCATGAGATTATTCAGATTAGACATTGGATGGAAGTGCTGAAGAGGACATGGATTGACGGAAATTACTTAAAAATGATAGTTAACCTGTATTAAAATCAATCAGCGGTGCTCCGAATAGATCAAGAATATACAAATCAGGTTAAAATTCACCACTAATATTCAATCTATGCTCGGAGCACATTTTTGAAGAGGCTCTAAAAGATATTGATGAAGGTATCTCAAATGGAGTCAAGCTCAATAACCTGCGGTATTACAGATGATACAATATGGTTTTCCAATACCATAGAAGGGCTGGCTGCAAAACTGAATGAACAAAATATCGGAAATAAGTAGAAAATATGGACTGGATATAAACACCAGCAAAACCAAGCTAATGATCATCACCAAGGAAAACATAACCGAAGCAAATCTGTATGTGAACTAAATAAGAATTGAATGTGTCTCACAATACAACTACTTGGGAACTATAATTAATGAGTCATGGGACATTATGCAAGAGATTAAATCGCATCGGAAAGGCAAAAAGTGCATTCTTGACTATGACTTCTGTGTTCTAGAGCCATGACCTCACCCTAGAAACCTAAGGCTCCTTAAATGTTATGTGTACTCAGTGCTTCTGTACGGAGTAGAAACGTGGATATTGAAGGCGTAAACTCTATCAAAAATCAGGCTTTTGAGCTATGGTCATACAGAAGGATCTTGAAGATACCATGGACAGACAAAGTCACCAATGAAAAACTACTGCGGAGGATGAACACAACTGCGGATTTGATCAACATCGTGAAGGGCTTGAAGCTGCAGTACTTGGGACATATAATGAGAAATCAAGACAGATACAAGCTAACCCAATGCATTTGGCAAGGTAAAATTGAAGGAAAAGGGCCCTAGGACGAAGAATATCCTGGCTTGCTAACCTTAGAGCATGGTATAGAAAGACCTCAACACAGTTATTTCGTATAGCAACCAACAAAGTCATCATAGCCAACGTTCGGAACGGACAGGTGCCCTAAGAAGAAGAAGACATTAGAGCTGCGGGGTAATATAAAATAACAAAATAAAATTAAAAATTGTGAATTGGGCCGACTACTATACACGTGTGTTTAAATTGTCGATTTAAATTGACTGGTCGCTGGTTAATCGTGGTGGTAAATAGTTGATCGATAGGGTGAAGAAATAACTTGTAAAACGAAATCTCTTCACACGTTCTTTATTGGGTGCTCTTATGGCAACATATGGAAACATACTACTCTTTTAAATTTGTAACGACTTTGCCGAGGGCTGACAGGGTTGTCGTCTAGACAATTGAATCTTAGGGCTAGGAATTATTCTTCTTCTTCAAGTGCCGTCTCCATCAATGGAGGTTAGCGGTTATGGTGGCAAACGTTTGTCTATCTTCAGCTGCTCTTAAGAGTTCCTCAAATCCAAGTCCTGTCCAGTTTCTGATATTACGTAACCAGGACAATTTTTTTCTTCCAATTCCTCGCTTTCCTTCTATTTTGCCTTTTATTATCAACTGAGGGATGTAGTATTTCTCGTTGCGCAACAAATGCCCTAAATAGGAATTATACATAGAATAAAATATTTTGAAATAATTTTAAACAAAGTGTAGTTTTCTGCTTTATGATTTAAAAAAACAATCATTTTCTGTATATTTCTTTTTGATGCATATTGATAATTTTAATGTTTTTATTAATTTGTAAAAATAAATTGCTAATAAGGTATTTAATATAGTTATTGAATTCTTTTATTAGTTTTTAACGACCGAATTTTATCAAATTAACTTAATGTGAATTTTCATGTTATTTTAAACACGCGGTTCGCTCCGCCTCGAAAATAACGTTACACCTTTAATTGCAATTCGTCTGCGTTATGGTTGTCTCTCGATTGCCGAAAATCGCTATGATTTCGGTAAATTCAAGGAAAGTTTGGTTATATGTCATGAATTTTAAATATGTAGTGCAATTTAAAAGAATTGTGTATTGGTTTGTTTGTTTTTAAATGATTGAATTCTAATAAAATGGTGAAAAAGTGCCAGGAGAGTGCCTAGGCGCTTGCGCTTTGCAACAGTCTGCAAAACAGAGTGTCGGAGACGATTATTACCGGTCACTGGTCACAGTCAGACATGAGTCTTGGTCGGAGAGTGTTCGTCGGCGCTATGAAATTGAGTGAGAGAGAGAAAGAGAAGGAGAACGGTAAACAGTTTTGTGGACGGGCGACTTTGTGCTAAACTAAATCAGTGCTAAATTCACCTTGGTTACATAATGCTACCTGCCGTCTTGAGTTTACTGCTCTTCCGTGAGTGACAGTGATATAAATTGAGAACAACTTTTAATTAATGAAAACAGTGCAGACGAATCGGGTCCCGTTGATATGATTAACCTACTAATTTACGATGATGTATGAGTGTGTGGTGCATTGAATCGTTAGTTTAAATATGGAAGTGACCCCGCATCTCAAAAGTGTCCTGAAGAACTACCAGCACAGCGCTACCAAGAGCCTTCAAGGCCCAGGACTTTCATTAGTTACTGTTAAACATGAGATTCCCTCCCCAGAAATCAACGAAGAAGAATTTGTACCAGCACCGTTTCCAGTTCAACAGGTACCTATCCTTACCATCCCTGATACATCTTGTAGTGAACGTACAGAAACGATCCTTGAAGGTGAATCTATCTCGTGTTTTGTAGTAGGAGGTGAAAAACGACTTTGTTTACCACAAGTGTTAAATTCGGTTCTTCGTGATTTTAGCTTGCAACAAATTAATCAAGAGTGTGACCAGTTGCAAATTTATTGCTCCAGGTGTACTCCAGAGCAGCTCAACGTGCTTAAAAACCAAGGTATTCTTCCAAGTGGTGCTCCCAGTTGTGGGTTAATCACCAAAACGGACGCGGAAAGGTTGTGTAGTGCCTTGTTGTATGGACAAGTGACCACGGAACTCAGGCCTCGCAAAGGTTCGCTTTCTATCCCTATTTACCACGAGTGTTTTGGTAGAGCCAGTGGGTTGTGCTATCCAGAGTTGTACACAAACAAAAATGCGAAGTGTATCGAATGTGGGGACTGTCAAGCGGGATTCTCTCCACAACAGTTCGTGTGTCACGTGCATAGAAACTTAGAGAATAGGACTGTGCATTGGGGTTTTGATTCAAGTAATTGGAGAAGTTATTTACATGTGCCCAAGGAACATATAGAAGAACATTATGACCAGTTTGTGAAAATTTTGAACGAGATGTGGCAGCGATACGAAGGCAGTATCGGATTTCCTCCTCCGGTTGTTGAACCCATCATCAAAAGAAAACAGGTTAGTTCACAGTGTCAATATTTTACTATATTCAAATCATAATAAACTATAAATATGTAAGTACTTTGTGGTGATTTACTAATATGGTAAACCAGAAAACGTATGTTTAACTATAAAAAAATATAGCATACATTATGTATATAGTATGTATACATAATTAAATAATATAAACTATATTAAATAACATAAAATAACTCAATACTATCAGGGATTTTATTATTAATTCTTGTATTCACTAGGAACCAGTATCATAAAATTGATTGCTCTCTTAAATCTATCACTTTAGGCTCACCATTAGTCAGTAGTCAGTCTATCATTAAGCTTGTTTGACTATCACATATCCTTATCACAAAAATATTGCTTTGTGAATTTTAAAAACTAAATAATGTCTGTTTAGCACAGTTCTTGATATATTTTATATTAAAATATTATTAGATAATTTGTAATATGGCTCAGTGTCGATATTACATTCATTTTGTATCTAATCAGCCAAGCAGATCTGTATTTGGGACATAGGCCACTTCCTCCTTCATCCATTGTTGTATATCCTGGGCTATTTGCATCCACTTGTGGTCTTCTTTGTCGTTTGTAGTTCCACGGCTTCCAATTCATAACCATTGTGTTTCTTATTCTTCAGTAGAGAGTCCACCAAACGCTGTACAAGCTAGTCTTATCCTCCCTGCTATATCCTCGGCTTGACTTCATCACTTCAAGTTGTAACTCGCCCAAGAGTATGTATTTTGTTACTTCTATGGTTGTTTGCTAGACTGTGATTTTCTGTGTGAAGTCTTTTTGGTCTGTCATGGTTTTAGTTTTATCATAGTTTCTTTAAAATCTTGGAGTATGATTCCATCGTAGAAATCAGCTTCCATTCTTGAAGAGGTTATCCTTTTGCAAAGTATTGTCTAGTGAACTTTGCAATTTATCATAGAAACCCTCTTTTTCTGCTGCATATACACGCTATTATTATTCTTCTTCTTTTTCATAAGTTAGGGCTGTGACGTGTGTGTATGGGATAATATTTAGTCTTTTTTAAAACCTTCTGCCTTCATTTTTATGTATTTCCGGTGTTAGCATCCTTTATGTTATGTTTTCCCTGCATCTGTTACCATTTTCGCTTTACTTTAATACTTTAAATATCCATTAGAACCTTCCTGTAGTCTCTTTCTATATCTTTTTCACTTATTAATTAATATTTAACTGGGAATAAGCCACAATTAAAGATAAAAATACGTTTATTGACGTTTCAATTTCCACTTCGGAAATCGTTCTCAAAATACAAACAGTATATTAAACAAATTTTGTTTTTTGTTACATTGTGAAAAATTCTTCTAATAATTTAATTTTATCTGACTCATTTATATTGACAATTCAGACATACATTATGCATTTTAAAGTAGATGACTTTAAAATGATATTGCCAATATTGTTGAGTTGCGCTCCTGGGACGACTTTACTAATAAGATAGTTCATTCGATTACATGAAATCAACTTTAATTTGAGAATATCCGTCAGAAAAAAATCATAGCATGTAATTCGTCTTTAATAAGACAAACACACGACATGATGACAGTAAAATTCTCCTGTTAGTGATTCCATAGTAAATTATGAGGGAAAAAACCAGGAAAAAAACCTCAATACTATCCCGACATTGTAAGTATTTGTTCGTGAATTTAGTTTACCTTCAACAAACATCAAAATTCTGATTTTATATGTTACGTTATTTAAAAAACATAAAATGCTGTGTCCTCTATATGTTACTGACTTATTAATACTGGTATTTTCTTATTAATAACTTCCTCTTTCAATATTGGTAACCAGATCCTACTACATTCTGCCGAGGAATTTGCGACATAATTGGTCTCATTTAGCATAATTAGAGCCGCTTCTTTGATTTTTCTTTTTTTACCATCCGTTTCTTTTAGGACTACATTTGAATTATTCCATTGAACCCATGTTCATTATCCCATGCGTGTTTACATATTTGAGATCTATCAAATTCTCTATTTTTAATATAAGATTGATGTTCACTTATTCTAACATTTAATGGCCTTGATGATTCACCTAAATAAAACCGAAGTGGAAATTGAAACGTCAATAAACGTATTTTTATCTTTAATTGTGGCTTATTCCCAGTTAAATATTAATTAATTTACAATGCCACAAGAAAATAGCTTCAGAACAATATTTTTCACTTATGTTACCTTCTTCATTGTGCTTTCTAAGCAGTTTAACCTGATTATTTTTGATTCTAATCTATTCTACCCATTTTTCTTGCTGCTTGTTCTAGATTGAAAACCACAAACTTGACCTTATTAAAACAATTTTAGCAAATCTAAAATTCAAAAATTGGCCACATATTATGTTACTTAAATAATATATTTTTTTCAATGAATGACAATTTGTCATACATATTGAGCTTAGGGCGCTCCTTTGAATGGCGTTCCAAGACTACCACTTATATGTATACCTAAAAAAATACACTTCTCTACGTATATGCCAACCTGTTTCACAAAAACTATCAAAAAAATAAATTTTCTCTACCTCTAAAACTATTACCTAAGCCTAATGTTATTATTTCTGATTCAAACCATTCTTTTGCTATTCCATCAAGGAACAAATGTACAATCATAATATTGTACATTTTCATAAGTACTCATTTTGAGAAATCACATCACCTTCGGTATCAAAATAAATCTCCTTCAAATTATCCTCTAATGAACATATCTTCTAATGTACATGTCCTGAAGGAGCCTCGTGTTTTCATAGATACTAATATATTCTTCACTCTTTTCATCACATCACCTTCGGTATCAAAATAAATCTTCAAATTATCTTCTAATGAAATAGTACATGTCCTAAAGGAGCCTCTTGTTTTCATAGATGCTAATATATTCTTCACTTTTTTCAGATGAAATAGGTAGTTCAGAATGATCATTAAAAGTTTCTTTTAAGAGGACATTTCATAATAAAATCGGTACCCTGTTTTCTGCAACCGCTTAACTTTATACATTTTTTTATTATCGGCAATGCTTGCTTCTATAGCTATAAAAATTCTTATGGATGTAATGTTCATTGTCAAATATATTTTTACCCAAATACCAACTTGAAAATTTATTGATAATTATAATTTTCGCTTGATCACCTTAAGTTAGCTGTACTTCATCTGCATCAGAAGAAGTTTTTTAAATCTTATTTCCATTTAAGACTTTTTTAATAGTTTAGTTTACTTAAGGATACAGTTTATAATTTTCATGATGATTATTGTTTCATATATTTCATCACGTCTTTTTTCATTTTCTTTGCATTCCTTGATTGTAAAACTTTATATTGTTAGTTCTTCTTTAAAGTTTTCGTAAATAATAGTTATAATTTTAGTTGAATTTCGAATACTTAGAACTGGAGAAAGAATTGCAGGATTCATTGGCAATAGTTAGCTTGCTAAACTTTTGCTACAAAATTTCCTTCAATAATTCGTGTTTCAATCAGGTAATATATCTTATCTTTTCAATAGCGCATATTGTTTTTGTTAATACCCATTATTTGATTTTATTTAACACTTCTTATGTCCATTTCTTCTATTTTTACTCCTGATAGAACTTTTTAAATAAGATTCCTTTCAATATATCACCTTTATTTGCACAATAAAATGTTATGTCTTATCGTTTTTATTATCTATTTTTATTCAAATTTGTCTTATTCCTGCTTCTATAATTTATAATAGGTTCCTTTGTATTGTCTTATCTTAATTTTAATTGTCAAGTGGCGGATAGGAATGTATATAATAGGATTAGTGATTGGGAAAAGATTATCAATTTTACACAGCGGTAACTTTAGTAGACATGAAAATCTTTATTTGCAGTTATTATTCATCTCATTTTTGTTCATTACTTCCTGTCCACTTGGAGGTATAAACTTATATACTTTTTCAATAAATTACAACTCAGTTGTGTCTACCGTGGCTATTAATTATACTAAACCTGCTTGATTAAATTTTTTTAGTTTTAAAGTGTACATTAATATCCCTGATAATCCTTTCTCAAGACTTGCTGTATGTTTTGTCCTTGGCTTATTAGTATCTCCCACTTTCAGACATATTTTTGTTTCAAATGAACGATGTTTTGATTTTTATGATGAGCAAAACCTAAACCATTGCCAGCTTTATCAAGCGTATTCGTTATCTCTGCATTTTTACTCGTTCACAGCTTCATTTAGTACTTGTCATGTTATCATCGTCAAGACTTTCCATTCTTACAAAAATTAAACCTAGGATTTTTGTGTAGTGTAAACCTACCCTAGAAGTAAATTGTGTCTGCTGTGGCTGTTGATTCTACTGAAATTATTTGACAGTTTTTTTTCTAGTTTTAATGTCATCATTAATATCCTGGATAATTCTTTATCAAGACTCCTTGTTCTTTAATATGAATACTGCGGATTTGAATAAAGTTCCCACTAACATTTTTACCGTTTAAATAATACAATATGCTGATGATTTTCTTCTGTACTCACATGCCTAAACTTACGATAATTCTGTTCAATCCATAGGATGAATTCAATGCTGTGTTAATTCATGGTTCAATCAAAACGGGTTTGAAATTGTTCCAAACAAATCTACTATCTATATTTTCACTCGATACAATATCTCAAAAATAGAAAGTTAAAACTTAGTCTCTACGACTAGGAAATTACATATTTTATGATGAATCGATGCAATAAGTAAGTAATTTCAAAGACCTGGTGGAGAGCTGATATTGAAACTTCTCTGCATTTCTATCTATCATATATTAGATATATAATTGATTATGGATGTGTTCTATGTGGTTCAGCTTCTAAACGTATTCTAAACAGAGTAGGCGTTGTACAAAACTTAGGACTGCGTGTTTGTTTGGAAGCTATGAAGTCAACTCCAAATAAGGCTTTACATGTTGAAGCTTTAGAAAGTCCAGTCATGTTTTACGTTTTAAAGACATTGATATATCCCTTTTCAAGATGTCTTTGAGTTTTCCATAGGCTGCCCATGCTAGGTTTATATTTCTTCGTAGTGCGCATGTTTGGTTGTCTCTTGTGATCTTTATTTCGTGTCCAAGGTATATGTATTTTTCCACCAGCTCTACTTCGTTGTCTCCAATATTGATATTTATGTTTATTTTAAGACCCAAACTGGCACATATTAACTGAAGTTCATGTATCATAAATCTAGTGATATTCCCTTTTCCTATAATAAATGTATCGCGTCTCGAATTCTCACTCTATCAAACGCTTTCTTCAAATCTATCAGACACATATTTGCTGGTTTGTTGTATTCCAGCGACTTTTATTTTATTTATCTTATTACAAAAACTGCATCCTTGCATGATCTTCCTGTCCGAAATCCTTGCTGTTCCTCTTACAGAGATTATTCGTTCGTTTATTTTTGTCGCTATTATTCTTGTTGTCAATTTGAGTGTTGTATTTAATAGATGTATTGCTCGATAATTATTGGGGTCTTTCCTATCTCCTTTTAGCTTTTCTTAGGGCTAGTTTTATTTCGTCCATAGTGATTTCCGGTAGTAGTTCTGCTCCTTGGTTGACAATGCCTTGACAATCCGTCTTAATTACAATATTACAAGCTGAATGTAACAGAATTAACCAATAAATACTAGAAGCTCAAAAACCCACCTCTACTTTGTGAGCTGGTAACTTAGTTGCAGCTTTAGACTTAAAAGATTTTCATTCTTTTTTACATACTTAAAGCTAAATTACTAAAACGAAGTTACCATGAAAACATTGGTATTAGCTCTTAACATCTTGAGATTATTCTTAGAGAATTGGTATAAATATATATACAGGGCAGAAAAAATGTTTTTTTTTGCACGATTTTTCTGTCTTCAGTGCGAATTTATTTGGCACTACAATATTTTAAAGAATCTGGATACATCTGCAACAATTATTTCTGGTTCACTTTCTGTTCTTTTTGCTGTTCAAACTATGGGTTTTCCCAAATATCAATTCAAATAATTATATTCTACTAATTGAGAAAATCCTTTTTGAATTTCATAAAAATCAAAGAAGAATAAATTTTTTATGGGCTCATAGGACTAAAGCATAATGAATATGTTGATGGTTTGGCTAAAAAAGACATTGAATATGGTATTTCACATGACCATCAGTTTTGCATACCTGAGATTAAGTTAAATATATAGTATTTCATATGATCATAGGTTTTTAAGAGGTGGTTAAAAAACCATGGATATCTGAATTCTCCAGCAAAATATCTATCTAATGATGTGTATGATCTATTCCCTATTTAAAATTAAAGGTTTGTTATATTTGAAGGAAGGGGGTTGATAAATGACAGATATTTATATCGTTAAAATATGTCCTCTTTAAGCTATTTTAGCATTTTTCTTCTTCTTATGGAGCCATATCCAATTAGTGAATGTTGGCGACAATTCTGGCATACTCTTCTTGATCTTGTGTGGCTCTAAAGAGTGCATGGGCATCGAAGTTTGTCCAATCCCTAATGTTTTTAAGCCATGAGTATTTCTTTCTTCCGATGCCCCGTTTTCCTTCTATCTTCCCTTCCACAATAAGCTTTAAGAACTGGTACTTGGAATTTCGAAATATATGACCCAGATAAGCATTTTTACAAAATACAATTAATATTTCCAAATATCAAGATGGACTCTTGTAACGGCCAACTTATATATCAAGATTCTTTACAGAAATCACAAACGGATTTTTATTCCTTGCCCTTCCTATTCTAACTGAGTGGTATATATATATTTTGTACAACAACGTCGACCTTGTACAGTATATTAAGAAAGTTATTGGTTACAAGGTGCCAAGTTGCCATAAAAACGATTGTAAAAATATTAAAAAATTATTAAAAAATCATATGATAAAACCGGTAATTTCAACAACGTAAGTATGAAAATTATACAGTATATACAAGATTAAGTAGAGTACATAATAATAAAATTAAGTTACTTTTAAATATTTATATTTAAAAATTTACTAGCCATCTAATTGCCTTCAGTTTAATACATATTTTCATAATTAACCTACTTGTAGAATTGGAGACGAGAATAGAACTAAATCTTAAAAAATAATAATACTCCTTGGATGACCAAATCGAAAAAAAAAGAGAGCAAGCAGTTCAGTTAAAAAAAAAAAAATTGTGCCGTGGCACTGCGTCTTTTATAATTTTCTAAAATAAGACCAAAAATAATTGAATTCCGTCAGTAATGTTTGAAAATATTTAAGAAGCAGCACGTTATATCCCAGAACCAGAAAGACATCCACCAAGCAATGGCTGGTTCGATGCTTAGTGTGAGGATATTATCATAAAAATAATGATGTAGGTAAATTTATGCAGCAAAATGGAATCAGTAAAAAACACGCATATAAACAGCTAAGGAAAGAAAAGAAACTGCGTAGAAGAAAAATCCAACGGGATATAAAAGCTTATATAAAAAAATCAATCTTAAGTGCGTAGAAAAATGAATGGAATGTGTCGAATTCAAAATTAAAATAAGTGAAACCCAGCATAGAGGCATGCAATGTGTTACCTATGTCAAGAAGAAAAGAAATACTAGTAACGCGCCTCAGACTCGGACATACTAGGTTAACGCATGATTATTAATTAAAATGTGCGTACCACCGCGATGTAAAACGTGTAATACGACACTAACAATAAGGCACATACTATGTGAATGTCCCCTCTACAATCAACAACGAACTAACAACAAAACGAGATACCAGGAACACTTCTAGAAGCTCTTGGTGCAGATTGTAACTTTAAAAATACTCTGAATTTCTTGAAGACGTTAATAAGTACCACAATATTTAATAATAAACCAAATTGTAATGCACTAATTGTACCTACCTAATGCAATCGATTAATTTTTCGCTAATGGCCATTTGGTCGATGCGATCTTC